CTCTGAACAGATGATGTCCCGCCCCTCTGCAATTTACTGAGCCTGAATGACCACAGCACTTCGAGAATGGTGAAGCATGAAGTCATCGATCCAATGACTACCACAACGTCCCTCTCGAGTTGTTGACACGCGCTCCACCGAATCTCGCCTCTCGAGTTGTTGACACGCGCTTCACGAAATCTCCGCCTCTCGAGTTGTTAGACACACTATCCCGTGGGAAAACAACCAGTACAACTATGTAGGCGGTAGAAGAAGAAGCACTCACATCCTCATCTAGCACCCCTCGCCCACCATGAAGAACCCCCCATCATGAACATACCCCTCGCCCATCATGAAAACCCCCATTATAACACCCCACCCTCACCGCCCATCATGAACGCCCCCCCCCACCCCTACCCTGAGGTGCACCTACTGAGGAATAAATGGAACCACCTGAACTAACGAAGATGCGAGGAAGCTGTAAAAACCCCATGGAAGACAAGGAAGGTCATCCCCGAACAGGCTCCAAATGATATGGAAGGAGGAAGCGCACAAATGTCAGATTCATCCTAAGAAGGATCCCAAGGACGCAAGCTGAAGGTAAGGGCAATAGACTCACCTCTCTCTCCTCAATAGCAGTAGATGGGTATGATTTGTCTTCAAATACTGTGTCAAGTATTTACCAGCTGTGTAGGCCTGTAAATTGGTCAGGCCGACATCTAGCTGCATTTGGCATGGTAGTTTAACACTTAGTTTCTGCGGTGTCAAATTTGCCCCCAACAGAGAGAAGCGTTTGTATGGCACGGAGGATTTTAAGTCGGTCCCTCTTACAAATGAAGCAAATATATCCAATAAGTAAAAGATTTAAAGAAATAGTACAAAGATCGTCTCTTGAGATTCAATGCTGATGGTCGTGAGGAATGTATCTGAGAATGCAAGCCCAATCACCTTAAAGAGTTGCAATGAAAACGTTGTTTATATCCAAGTATACAAAGCAGGAGCTTTGATGATCTTTCCATTTACTTTGGTTTGATCAATGTATGCTGGAAATAATAATCCAACATAAAATAGAAGGTGATCTCGCTCTAACAGAGTAACGTAGACAAGAAATAACAATCCAATATAGGGAGTGCTCTCTCTCTCTCTCTCTCTCTCTCTCTCTCTCTACCAATGCATGTAAACCAGTCATGAAGGAGATAGATTTGATCACCCAATATGTGTACAATGAACACAGGCAGCAAAAACAAATGCCAAAGCGCACTCCTCACGTATCAAATTTAGTTCACCAAATTCCCTCACATCAAAACCTCTACATCCATTGGCAAAATTGATTAAAATTTTACTCTCCAAAAGGTCAAAAACCTGTGTTAAAAGGGTACATTGGCAAAAAATGCCTAACGATCAACACCTTGTAGAGCGTGAGGAACTACTTCGCCTGATGCCCTCGCAGCTTGAATAGTCCTCACAACATTTGCAACATTTTCCTGAATAACAAAACAGATCTATCATTGACAAAAAGGAAAGTATCCTTAAAACCAGTAAAGCCCCTCAAACCATGGCCAAACCCAATTACCACAGTCCAAAGGTGACCCTAATCTCAAACTTCAATCCCTAAGAAAACATTTGAATAGTCCTCAAAAGTTTCCTAATAACAAAATAGCATGTACCACTGCACGAAAAGAAACAATCCTTAAAACCCATTTGACCCCATCACAACATTTTTGCAGTGTTTTCCTGAATAACAAAAGAGCATGTAGCAATCACAAAAGGAGGCAATCCTATAAAATCTAAAGCTCCTTGAAACATATTCAAACCCTATTATCAAAGTTCTAAAGATACCCTAATCTCAAACTAAATATCCTCGGAACCAATTTGACCTAATCCAGAAAATCCTAATAAACCTATCCCTCTTCACATCCACAATTAGAAAAACACATCGACTACAGGGAGGAGCACTTTTGTCCATTGTGAAGGATTGCTAAATTTTGCAGGTTTCTGGTGATATCATGACACACAATGGTTTTTCTCTCTTTCCCAAACCAGAAAAGTCCCAAAAACAGGTTAGAAAATTTTCTCGTTGAATGATTTCCCAAACCAGAAATCCCAAAACAGGTTAGACAATTTTGTCACTAAGACATTCATATATACTTCACTTTCTCAAAAAGAGCTTTACAGAAACTTCAGAAATTTACCTTCAGATGAGAGCCACAGATCACATCAAGGAAACCAGAATTAAAATAAATAAAAGAAAGACGGGCTAATAAAGAAGGGCAGAGTAAGAAGTGCTTACTCACCCTCCAAAGGCCAAGTTTATAACGAAGGCCTTCCCACTGCTGCAATCCGAATGTGCGTTCAGTACAACGGCTGCACACAGGCTTATGGTCAGAATCAAAGCAAGGAAAAGGTCTAAGAAAACAATCATCATCTATGAAATACGGCTTAGTAAGCTTGAGTTAACCGTAAGACATATGTAAACAAATACGGTTGTACCAAGTTACCTGACTATTACAATTTGGTTCATCTGGTCCATTTTGCAGTCGAGTAGCTTTGCACTTATTGCCCGAACTACCCAGTACTCCACTTCCCCATCATTCACCTGCAAAAAGAATCATTGCTCGAAACTCTGAAGAGAAAATTTTACTCTACAAACAACAACCACCATAAATAAATAAAATAATAAAATAAAATGAAAACAAAGTCGAGTCAATATTTTAACCAAGTATTTACTGAAGACGGGTTGAAAAATTACCCTTAAGGTGTCCTTGACAAGAGTATAAGGGATCTCACCAAAACCATTCGAACCCAGATCCACCAGAGACATCAACCGCATCTTTGTTATACAGTCTTCATGGACAAGACCTGTAGATTCAGGGTATTCAGTTCTGAGGATGAAATGCTAGGCATTTGAGACCCATTGAATCTCTCTCTCTCTCTC